AGCCGTGGGCCTTGGGCGCTTCCTGGGCTGTTCTTTTTGTTGGTGCACTGGGCTGGTTTAGGGTTCAGGGCTTTGGGTTTCGGGTTTCGGGTTTTGGGGGTTTAGGGTTTCAGGTTTTGGGGGTTTTTAGGGTTCAGGGTTTACGGTTTGTAGGGCTAGGCTTCGGGGTTTAGGGTTCAGGGTTTAGCATTTTTGGTAGGGTTCCTTTCAAGCGGCTTCTACAAGGGTTGCTACAAAGTGCCGACAACAGCTCCATGAACTACATGTAACGATTCCTGCAAGAGCTTCCTGAAAAGATGTATGATTAGTGCCGCATTCCCGGGTTCGTACTAAACAACAAACGTCTCAACTTTTTGGCCTCTGCTTTGAGGCTTTTGTTGGCTGAATGGCTGAAGGCTTCAGATTCGGTATTTGGTAGCTTCTAGACTAGGGTCCCGTGTTAGGTCCGTAAAGTAATATGGCACCCTTTTCAACAGGACCCTAAAAAGGATCCCAATTTGGAGAACTACACATTTGGGGGGTTCAGGCTTGAGGGGTTGGGGTTTAGGGTTCAGGTTTGCCGGTTTCGTAAAAAAGGCCAATTTGGGGCATACTATGCAGCCAGATTGTACTATACTCAGGAACCATGAGGGAATAACGTAGGCAATTACTCAGGCGCCTGAACTAATCAGTGTTTCGACAGAAGGCCCTTTTCAGTTTGGGCGGTTGGGCTTGCGGGCTGTAGGGCTTCAGGTTCAGGGGGATTTGGAGTTTTGAGGATTGGGAGGACGGCTTGGGGATCAGGGACTAGGTTTGGGGGTTAGGGCTTGGGGTTTGGTGCTCGTAGGGCTTAGGGTTTAAGGTTTATAAGGGATAGGGATTGAGGATTCGGAGTCAGGGCTCCCGGGCTTGATTGATTTGGATGGCAGCATGCCACTTAGGATCTGCACGGCTGACAGCTTTGAGCTCCGTCCGAGCTCTGGCTGAGGTGTCATCAGCATTTTACCCCCCCTCTCTGGTTCGGGCCAAGTTTGTGGCTGAAGGGGATTATATGGTTTCTGAAAGGGTTTTCTTCACGGACTTCCCGATTTGTTGCCCTAAGACAAACCGAGCTTGGCAAGGATGTTGAGGTGCTGCTGAGTTGTGGGGAGCGGTAGCCAATGCTTCGGAAGGCTAAAGACCTCATTCCCAAAACCTTGTTGCTTATGATTTAAATTCTGCCGTCCTTGCCCACCTCAGACTCTGCGGGAAAATCGACACGATCGCTCCCAGACGTAGTGAGATGGTCTTGTGGCTGAAAGCCGGAAACCCCAATCCTGCACCCAAGTACGTCTCCCCATACAGCGGACTGCATTCAGTATCTTACCTGCTTGTGCCATGTGACACTGCCGGACGAGTACCATGGGCATGGTGGACGCCGTAGACGTCGCACAACTGATCGCGGACCTGACGGGTCAGCTGCCACATCACACGATTGCATTGGGCAGATAGTGAACAAGTGGACAAAATCATCATAATGCTTATCTTTGCCATTCCACATCGGCTGACTAATATGTCTCATTTCCGACGTTCGTGTTAAGCCCCTGTGCCTTGTGCGAGTCTCTCTTTCATCGAACGCACCAGTAATCCGTACTGCATCTAACGTCTCATTTAAAATAAATCTATTGCATACTAAGTTGACATGCAGTTTCGATCCAAAATCTACTTTGCACGTGCATCGTGTCCGTGACACACTAGGGCTTGCAATGTCAATGGTCAGCGGCAGGCGTTTGTTTGTCAGGCTATCTGGTATTCCTTCTGTGGAATCTGCAAGAACTGTTCGTCGAGCTAATCCCAAGCTTCCAAAAATGTCTACCCGGCTTACAAAAAGTTTTGCACTAGATAATGACTAAATCCAATGGTTACTGTGGTACAGATAACCATAACAACCCAACAGCGTCAACAACATCATCGTTTGGCTGAAGCCCCAAACCCCAACCCCTCAAAGGAGTAAAGGATAGCCAACAATGCTGTCGACTGTTCGGGCTACTATGTATTGATGAAGTTCTGTGGTCTATTTTAAGACTATTTCAGGAATCCTTAGGCATTAAGAATACCGTTGCCTAAACTTAAAAAGTTTTCGACCCGCACATTGCAGAACTCGTGCACTGTTGTTGAAGTTGCGGGTCTAACTGAATGACTGTCCGGTTCATACCGACTCCGACTCTAGCAGCCTAGCACCCCGATAGTAATCAGAATTGGGTTGTAGGGCCCGTGGGATGTTACAGTGGCAGCATTCAAAAATTCATTATGAACCTTAAGGGGAACGTATTACTAATTACCCAGGCGTTTCTATTCCTGTTTTCGACCGTTCCAACTGAACAGATAGATAGCACCATTAAGGAACTACTACTACCACTTTGGAACCTGAGTTGAAGCTGGCACTTCAGCCTTATCGATTCAGAGTTAGGTGTGCTTGATTCCAGGGTTTGCAGTTTCAGGGCTATGCAGGCCTGAGTATGTGCGAGCAACTTCACCTCACATTATCTATATTGAAGTCTGTTTTGGCACCTCACTTAGGGCTTCCTGTGAGTCCACGTTGCCCTAGCGACCTTTCACTGCGGTCCTTGTTCCTGGGTTCCGGGGGTAGGGTATTACCTTCCATCGGGTTTAGGGTATGATCATGTCGATTCGGGTTTGGGGGCATTGAGTGCAGAGAGAGCAACCATGCCAAGCGGAAGAGAAACCATCATGCAGCAACCCCGCATCCTGAATCTCCTACAAAGCTGATGCTTAAAGACCACATGCACCAAACCCCAAACACCTGCACCCCAATGCTCTTTCTCCCTAACTGAAGGACATGATAAGTTAAGAACAGGGAGAGTCGACGCAACACATTGCTAGGAAACCCTTATGCTCAGAATGTCCAAACCTACACCGTCTGGGAAGCGCCTTGCTACTGTCGCCGCCAAAAGCTGCTGCCCCCCAAGTCACCTTTGCTCAAGCACACATCCGGAAGCTTGAAACTTGGGACTTAGGGACACAGGAATGCACTGATAAGGCAAACAAGTGCCGTAAAATGAAGATCTTGGCTTGGCGGCTTGGGGTTTACGCTTTCGGATTTAGGGTGTAGGATTCAGGGTTTAGGGTTTAGGTTTTCGGAATGTAGGAAATAACTACAGACCCACTCAGGCCCTCTAGGGCTCGCGTGTAGCTAGCTACCTGTGATGCCCTGACTCTCTAGAAACCTTTAATTCGAAGACCTCCAAAATCCTGCACAGAACTCCGCTACGAACCATCCGCCTGCTCTTGGCTACCAAGTTGAACCCTAAGCCCTGAACCCTGTCAAACTGATAGCCAGAGAAAACTGAAACCGACAGCTACAGAAACATATTCACCGTGTCAAAAGCCGTGAGAACCTAAGTTTCACACTTGCAAGTACCACTACTGGTCTGAGTACCACCATAGTAAGCCACAAACAGTTGGGAAACCGGATTCAGGACAATTAGTGCTGGGATTCCCTACACATTTCTCTTAGGGATTGAGGTTCTTGGGTTTCCAACTGCTCGACCTATGGGCTTCTACTGTAGATTGTGTCTTCGATATCATGTGTATGGGTAGTTCTGTAAACCAGGGTCCCTTTTTAGCGTCCTTTTTATGAGGCTGCCGTACTATATTGGGGAGCTGAAAAAGAACCCTAACCATTCCCAGAATATATAAACAAAACGACATCTGTAACCAGAGATGAAGACTAATTACATCGGAGAGAACAGGTAGTGAAGTGGTAAAGTCTTGAACGGTCTGAAGGCTTTGGAGGACAACATGTTTACTAACCCTAAGCTCCAACTGCTTCCCTAGCTACCACATTGCTAACAAAGGGGCCTCAAGCTCCGAGGTCGGAAAACACATATAATTATACAAGTTGAAATGCACCCTACAGTACTACCATTTATTCAGCAATTCAGGCGTCTGTTTTACATTATTTCATTTCAATTAACCTTCTGGAGGCATTCCAAGTTGCTAAACTGCCGTTGCCACAAATCGCCGCAAAAGCGCGATTTGACGCGGCAAGCTGCTGAACCTGAGCTTTGCCACGGGAGCCGTTCATGCTCTGAAATCTTATACTTATGTGGAGTCTTGTTGATACTGAAATTCTGTACTACTACGATAAAGAACCACGTCTAAACTTGCCTCATGTCTGCTGCCGCTTCGAGTCCAGCTGCTCCTACTATCACAGCAAGAGCAACACCAACACCAACAACAACAACACCACCACCACCACCACCACCACCACCAACAACAACAACAACAACAATAACAATAACAACAGCAGCAGCCACAACCACAAACACAGCCACAACCTCAGCAACAACAACAGCAGCAGCAACAGCAAAGCAATCCCCGCCACCACCGCCACCAACAGCAAAGCAATCCCTGCCACCACCGCTGGTTTGCCACCACCACCAACAACACCACCAACTACAACAACAACCACAACAACAACAACAATGTACTACTACTACTACTACTACTACTACTACTACTACTGCTACTACTACCACCTACTACTACACCTACTACTACTACTACTACTACTACTACTACTACTACTACTACTACTACTACTACTACTACTACT